TCTTATGGTCCAAAAGATGTCTGCCTTGGTAAGTATTCCATGCGCGTTTAAAAAGAGTGTGAAGACTGTGTTCTGCTGTTTACAGAGTATTTCATAAATGTCAGATTGGGTGATTGTGTTATGTTTTTTCTGTTCTTACTGATTTTCCGTCTACTTGTTCTAACAATTGCTAAGAGTTGAGTGTTGAAATTGCCAACTTATCTGTAGATTTGTCCATTTCTTCTTCTATGTCATTAATTTTTTCTTCACGTAGGAAGCTCTGTTATCAGGTGCATAAACGTTTAGAATTGTTATGAATTCATTATCAAATGGCTTTCGTTATCCTTGTGATATCCTTTCTTTAAAATTTACTCAGCCTCGTATTAATGTAACCATTACAGCTTTCTTTTGATGAGTATCCGCATGACATATCTTTTCCATCTTTTAATCTCTTTGTATCTTTATGCTTGAAATTGTTTCCTTGTGGGCAGCGTGATCATTGGGTCTGTAACCATGGGGGAGACTGATTTCATAAGGTAAAATGCGTGACCTTCTCTCCGAGTCCTTTTCAGCCCCCCGGACACTCGGGCGAGGTGGGGCCGGCTCCTGTATCCGATCTCGCAGCCTCTGCCTTTATCTGATGTGGCTGCGGGTAGAGTTGGTTCCCATTTCCGATGGTCTCCGTCCCTCGTGGGAGCCGTTTCCACCTGGTGTCGCTTGCCTTCTGCCTGAAGGCCACCATCGCTCCTGTGCTGCGGATGCGCTGGCGATGAGTGTTTTCTGAACGTCCGAAATCATCTCTGTTGTTTCTTAAATCTGTTTTCATGGGGTGTTGCACTGTGGGCTGGCCGATTGTGGCCCCCCCCACCCCGACCCCCAGGCTTTGAGAGGCGTCCTTCCATCGCCTGCTGGCTGGCATTCTTTCAGCGAAGAAATCTGCCGTCCTTCTTACTTTCGTCTTTCTGTGCTGTAACATTTTCTTCCCCACGGCTTTTAAGACGTTATCTTAGAGCTAGTGCTGAGCAGTGTGGCTTCCTGGGCCTCAGTGGACTCTTCTTAATGCGTTTTGTGTTTGGAGTTCGTGAACCTTCTTGGGTCTGCGGGTTTATAGTTTTGATCAACCGTGGGAAATTTGAAGCTGTAATTTTTCAGGCGTTTTCGGTGTTCTTGCACTGCTGCCTGGACACTCTGTCCGAGCAGACGCCGGGGATAGCTGTGGGGGTCTCCATGCCCGATGGCCAGTGTCTGAAAGCCATGGTTTTATATATTTGTTTCAGCTGTTTTGTGTGGGAGAGTAAATCTGGTCTGTGTTCTGTTTTGGTTGGAAGCAGAATTCTGATTATCTCAGGGAAATTTTTAATTGTCAAGATTTTATTAGTAGCTTTTGGTTTAAAATAAAGATAGCATCAGTAGCTAGCATTCGGAGGCTCACTCTGTGCCAGGCTGGACACGGCGCCTCTCCTGCACTGCCCCGTGTCGTCCTGGTGACGCCCCTGCGATGTAGGTGGGGCTGCCCCCACCCCGCGTTGCCCGCCGCAGCTGAGCACATGTCAGTGCCGAGGCCTCTGCGCTTCCCCCCAGGGCGGGCGTGGGCCTGCTGAGCCGCGTGCGGCTGGCGTCGGAGTGGCCAGGCTCAGCGGCGCGGTCAGCGGTTGTCCCGCAGCCGGCGGGGGCAGCCCACCCCTCCCCGCCCCACCACGGCCTGGTGATGTGCAGCCATCCTGGTGGAGCTGCTCGCCCGGCCCCGTGCCTCGCCCCTCGTGGGTGCCCTCGTTGATGCTGAGAGCAGATCTGTGTGGACTGTGCTGCGGGCACGGGGAGGGCGCTGGGAAATGGCGGGCACATCACCTTCTGGGACCGTTTGCGCATATACGGCGTGGGCTAGGCTGGCACGAGGGTGCTGGGGAAGAGCCCTGGGCGCAGTGCCTACCGGCCGTTGGCCGGCGAATTGTGTGCCCCCCGAAAGATGTATTGAAGCCCTAACTCCTGGGACCTCGGGATGTGATCTCATTTGGAAAATGGGATCGTTGCGGATGTAATTAGTTAAGGCGAAGTTGTGCCTGAGTCAGTTGAGGCCCCGATCGGATATGGCTGGTGTCCTTCCAAGGGGATGGCCATGTGGTGGCGGGGGTGGGACGGGGACGGAAGGCCACCTGCGGGAGAGGCGGGAAGGGCCGTGGGTTTCAGGCTCCCAGAACTCTCATGCTCCGGACCTGTGAGCCGTCCATTCCTGTGGGTCTGAGCCTCCGGGGTCACGGTCCTTTGCTGAGGTGGCCCTAGGAAACCGGTGCTCTGGGGTGGTCCCTTCGCCGTGGGCGTTCTGCTGTCCTGCAGCAAAGCGTGTGTTTATGTCACACGAGTGGCTCCTGTGCCGCTAACGGCAGTGACGTCAGCGACGTCATCGCGATGCAGAGCTGAGCTGGACTTGACTTCTCCTTGTGCGTCTGGTGTCTACCATCAAGGAGCAGGGTTTGCGCCTCAAGGACACGCGTGCGGCACGTGGCGGTCCACTGAGGACCGATGGCGCACCCCACCCAGCCCCGCCCGCCCCCGGCTCGCTGCGGCCTCTCCGGCCCGGTGCTCCGTCCCCGACACCGTGGCTCAGGCGCTGCCGTCTCCCAAAGACAGCGTTCTGCGTTCGGCACGTCCTCTTGCACACGACGGGGTTGTGTTTGTCCGCATCCTGTTGACGTGCGTAGCGCGCGGCTCATTAAATTGAGGTCCGAATGGTCGGCGCCCGCCTAGTTCTTCCCTGAGCCCGGCGTTCGTGGTGCACAGTGTGGCGGGGTGTCAGGTGGTTGCAGAACGTATGTCGGAGCAGCGACTTCTGCGTCCTGCCGACTGCGCATGTGCGAGGGGAGCCCC